AGCTTATTGTATACATTCCTTAATTTGTGCTTTAAAACAAAACTAAATAATGCATCTATGTGTCCCCTGGGTCCCCAGGGAAGGCCCAGAGAAGGTAACAGTGAGCACACAGCTAGCACCATGTGTAGTTTCTAAGTACCACTCTCCACTAAAGCAAATCAAGACTCCTTGGGATGGGGCATGGAAAGTACAGGAAGCACCTAGAATATCTTCTTGACCCTGAACAGAGGAAGTACCAAAGTACCAGAAAGAATCGCAGGGACACACAAGTCACCTTGAGGGTGTTCCCACTGGTCAACTAACCCTAACCCACTAGATAAAATAGGCACTCACGAGTTCATACAGTATATATGTAGAAATTTTAAAACAGGAGAGGTGTGGGGCTGGAGAGATGGCTCAGCAGTTAAGAACACTGGTTGTTCTTGCAGAAGACCTGGGTTCGAATCCCAGCACCCACACGTCAGCTAACAACTGTCCTAACTCCAGTCCCAGGGGATCCAACAGCCTCTTCTGACCTCCGCGGGCATTGCACGACACGGGTGAACTTACCTACATGCAAGGCAATACACACACACACATAAAATAAAAATAATTAAAAAAAATAGGAGAGGTGCAAAAATTCTTCCTTATAGAACATCAGTTAATGAACAGAGCAAGGATGAAGTTAGAGAACTGTCAATGGATGCTAAAATGGGCAAAAGTTTGATAAGGAATGAGATAGTCAACAAGCATCCTGCCACAAGTTAGTTATTTAACTACAAAGGCAAAGGCAACACCTTTTCAGAGGAAAACATGGCACATACCATCTTAGTCAAGTGACAAAAGACGGAACAAGCAACATCATGTGCCTCAGGGTAGGACAGACTGAAGACACAACACATTGTAATTATTTTATGCAAAAAATGTACCTAAAGGACAGGCATGGTGGTGCATGCCTTTAATCCCAGCACTTGGGAGGCAGAAGTAGGCAGATCTCTGTGATTGAGGTCAATTTGATCTACACAGCAAGTTCCAGGCAAGTTGGGGCTGTACGGAAACTCTGTCTCAAAAAAAGAAAAAGCCTACAAAAATATTTAAGGAAAAATGATCATGTTTCCAACTTTCTCTCAAATAGTCAAAAATAATCAGTATCCACACACACAGTGCACATAGGGGAAAGGGGTAAAGCAAATGGGCAAAATGTAAATACAAAGCTAAGCACAAGGCTTAGCTGGGCCATTCTTGCAAACCAGCCCCATGTTTGAAAGTACACCAACATAATGTGTTCTAACTGAAACAAATTCAGAAAATGAAAAGACTAATTGCCTATATTGCCACCATTCCAACAAGTTATTTATTTTTGTATATTGCTTTGAGCCTCTGTTTATGGGTATATATGCAATGTGATTATGACATGGAAAATTTTATTTCTAACTTTTAACTTGCTTTATTACTTTAAAATAGCATCCTTGGGTTCAATTTTCAAGCTGAATCAGTTTCTCATTAAAAAACAAAAGGTGGAATAACCCAGATATGCTTCATCCAAGAACAGATAAACAAATGTGATAAGTCTGCATAATGGAATAATATTGAGTAACAAAAAGGAACAAAGTATTGACCCAATGATGTGAATGCATTTCAAACACATTATGTTAAATAAAGAAGTCAGACTCTGAGGATTTTTTTATTTTACTGACATGACGTGGCATCACAAAAAGAGCAAACTGAAGGGGCAGAAAACAGATCAGTGGTTAACTAGAAAGGCACACAAAGTAGGAGCACTAGGTATGTGTCTTGTGTCTTGACTTTGGTGGTAATTATAGACCAAACGCCCTTTAGAGGTGAAAACTTGCAGAAACACACTTAAAAATGTTATCTTTAAGCCGGGCATGGTGGCGCACCCCTTTAATCCGAGCACTCTGGAGGCAGAGGCAGGCAGATCTCTGTGAGTTCAAGGCTAGCCTGGTCTACATAGTGAGTTCCAGGACAGCTGGGGCTACAGGGAGACCCTGTCTCAAAAAAAAAAAAGTTATCTTTAATTATGTCAGTTATACCTTAATCTTAAGAAAAAAAAAGCATATAACAAAGTTGTGTTTTTGAAACAGGGGTCATTTAACCTATTAAAAATGAAACAGTTCCATTTTACATAGTACAGAATGTAAACTACCATAAAAGCTCTCTACTTCTATACTACTTATATAATAACAGAATGCTATAATACAAAGTCAGTACACATATTCAAAACTAGTCTAAAGAAAAGTTTAAGTGTAAATCAAATGTACTTGTCACAGCTCTTAAATATAATTTCAATTCACTGCCTTTGTAGCACTAACCGTTTCTTCTCCACACTTTGCAACAGCCTCCTAGGTATCTTATCTCTCTTCATTCAACGCAAAGTAATGTCAGACCCAACATATACTACAATCATTGGATTGTTTGCTAAAACTAGTACTCTCCAGAATAAATCGCAAACTACTGAGCTTGGAATCTGAAGTGTTCTGAAAACACTACTGTCATGCTTCCTACTTCCTCTGCGCCTCCACCTAGAACCCACAAAACAATCTATGCTCCACTCATACAGCACCATCTGCCAAACCGTCTAGCGATTTTCAAATCTCTACCACCATGTTCGGGTCTGGTGTGCGCTTCCTTACCCTTTTCCTGAGCAACTGTAGTCACCTCAGCTCAGATGTGCCTCCTGAGTAACTGCTTCTTCTGAGTATCTGCAACATTTTGAAAAAAACCATGTCTACCCTCCTCCCCAGATACTTACAGAACCATATTTGGGGGACCTGACCATGTAATAATTATTTCATCAAATTTATCTAACTGTGTAACTAACCAAATGAGACTGAGTAAAATGTTAGCTTACCACTACCTTGTTTAAAACCAAACCACAACCACATTTGACAATTTTTATTTTACATGTTATTTATTTTTATGTTTATGAGTGTTTTGCCTGCAGATATCCATGTGCACTACATGTATGCCTGGTACCTGTGGAGACCTGAAGAGAAGATCCCCTGGAAGTGGAGTTATAGACTGTTGTGAGCTGCCATGTATGTTCTAGGAACTGAACCTGGGTTCTCTGCAAGAGCAGCAAATACTCTTAACTACTGAGTCATCTTTCCAGCCCCCACAATCACATTTAACTATACTCAAACCAATAGAATTATAATTTTCCCAATATGGACAATACTGAGGTCTGTTCTATCATTAAATCTACCAATATCTGCAGTATTTTGGGCTGATTTCTTTTCAGACACTGATATATCCATTTATTTTTTTTTAAATTTGATGTGTATGCATGTATTGCCTGCATGTAGGCAAGTGTACCTGTGTCGTGCAATGCCCACTTAGGCCAGAAGAGGCTGTTGGATCCCCTAGGACTGGAGTTACAGACAGTTGTTAGCTGCCATGTGGGTGCTGGGATTCAAAACCAGGTCTTCTGCAAGAACCAGTGTTCTTAACCACTGAGCCATTTGTCCAGGCCCTGATATATCCATTTTTTCATGCTTCTCATTTCCTAGAAATATCAACCCTAGGTAATGTGTGCAATTGTTTCTCCAAACAATCTCTTCAAAATGAAAGAACTATGAGAACTCTATATTTTAAAACAGAATCAGTAGCCAGGTATGGTCACCCACACCTGTAATCCCAGCACTTGGGAGGCTGAAGCAGGAGGATCACTACAGTACAAGGCCAGCCTGGGACTCTGTCTCAAAAGAAAAAAATTATGGACAAAGTTCCTAACTTTATTCTGAGAAAAGTCATTATAATGACTGTGGTGGGTCTTCCTAGTTTGGCTTTTACTGAGGGTTTTCAACTACAAACATGAACTGGGTGTTATTGTGATAGAATCAATCAGTCAGATTTCAGAAGAAACAAGATTCAATGTCTTTTGTTTGATGCTTTTTGACTGACTGAAAAACATTTACTCATTATGAAGGAGACCCTAAAAAGTCAGTCTTAGGCCTTTCCAAAATTGGAGTAGGACCTATGAAATAGAGTTGTGGTTATTTAAAAAGATAGTCCTTGTGATGGGTCTAAAAAGAAATAAGGTTTATAAGAGAGATAATACTCTGGGCAGAGAAAGAAGAGTGAGAAAGAAAACAATGGATGTCTGTAGAATACCATTGAGTCTGTAAGTGCCCCCTATCCTTCGTAGAACAAAAGGTGTGAATACATGACTGCATAATTACCGAGAATTTCAAGAGAAAAAGAGCCCACAAGTGTTAAAAAGTTAACGCATGGTTAATGATAAGGAGGGAAAATAAAGTCAAATGCATTTCACTCTGTTCAGCAATGCCTGGCGTAGGGAGTGAGGTGAGAACCAAACCCTGACATATTCCAGCACAAACAGCAAAGATGGCTCAGTATGAGACTCCTCATGACAGGGAATAACTGAAGCAAAAAGATACATTCTGTAGACTAGAGAAAACTGGTGTTTACCGACAGCAAAGCGCCAGTGAAAGGAAAGAGTCAAAAGACGGTATGTATAATAACTGGATCAGTTACAGAAGGTGGCTGGAAACCCAGCCTGCAGAGGGCAGCTGGACCTCGGAAAGGGAGACGGAGAAGAGCTCCGAGAGGCCACCGAGCCGCTGAGGGGCAGGAGGGCTGGGGCAGAGGTGCCAGAGGCTTGAGGAACCCAGGCACTTCAAGAAGAGGAAGAAAGCCAGGGCGAGGAATGCCGGCAGCAAGGAGGGCTCGGCCTTTCAGAAACAGGCACCTGCAGAGGTCCAGCTGGGAAAGGACCGGCCTGGAATCCGCGGCTAGCGGGGCTGCCGGGCACCGGGGGCTCGAGGCTCAGCAGTGACGAAGCTGCCTCCTTCGGAGCAAAACTTCCCCAGGCTAGCAAGCTTACGGGAGAACCGCCACTTTGAAACTCACGTTACCAAACTGATGACATGAGGCACTTTCCCTTCAATACTTAGAGTCACATGGTGTTTTTTCAAACATACAAAGTGTCGCCGTGGGAAGTCAGAAAAATGAGGTGACAAACTTGGAATGCCACTCACCTGGCGGTTTCGGGGAAACCCATCCTGTAAAGCGTTACAACCACAGCTCCTCCAAGGCCCAAGTTGTGCTGCAGAGCGACCTGGGCTCCGGGAACCTGCCTTCTTCCGGCTTCCCCTCGCAGCTGCCAGCAGAGCTCCGCACACTGAGCCAGACCTGGCAAGTCGAACACAGAGCGACCGGGCGTTAGAGCGTTAGAGCTCCGCCTCCGCTCCCGCGAGGAGCCACTAGAATAGGGTTGGTCTCTCCAGACCACGTGACCCAGTCGTGCGTCCAGTTTCTCAGCTAAGGAATCTGGAATTTAAACAGGGCTTAGGAAACTATGAAATGCCCGCCTTATTCAGCCAGCTGTTTACTGCAGGTTGAAAATAAAACTCCACCATTCACCAGCCCAGGAAGAACGGCACACACAGAAAATTTAATGTTTCCCATTCTTAATATAGCAGAAGTAATCTATACCTTGGGAATTTTCACTAAAACAGCTAAGCTGGTAAGAGGTATATTTCTTATTTTTCCCAAGAAATTCCCAACAAGTATTGAACTGTTCTCTAAACCTAGTTGCAGCTATTCACAATAACCTTCTGTCCCCCGAATAATAAAATCATATTTTTCTGAGCCGGAGTGGTGGGTGGGCCTGCAATCCCAGCACCCAGGACACAGAGTTGGAAGCCAGCGTGACCACGCAATGAATGAATGGGACACGGTCTACAGAACGGCTAGGCTGACATAGTGGTGCATGCCCTTAGTTCCAGCGCTCAGGAGGAGGCAGAGGTAGGTGATCTCTGCAAAATAAGTCTAGTTAAGAATGATCTGTTGGTTCTGTACTATGAAAATGTCATAGTGAGGGGCTACAGAGATGGTTTAGCGGTTAAAAGTGCATACTGCTCTTCCAGAGGACTCTTGATTCCCAGCCCCAACATCGGGTGACTCACCACTGCCTGTAACTCCAGTCTGTGCGCAAACCCACGCACATACACATACACAAATTAAAAAGTGACAATAAAAATAAAACATTTTTAAAAGAAAATGTCATAGTGAAACTCACTATTGTGTGTAATAACCATATGCTAATTTTCTGTAAAAAGAATGTTCTACCAAGATAGACTTGATCATTGTCCTGGAGGCATAGTTCTGCAGGTCTAGTGTCTGAGTGACAGCCTCAGCCACAACTTCACATTGCTGAATACCTGAGACAGGTATATAAACCCCAAACTCCCCATAAACTTTTATTGTTACTTTTCATTTCCAAGCATCAGTGTTCATGAGCTTATAGATTATATATTCTGGAGTCTGGAGATGACTTAGCAGGTAAGAGCACTGGTTCCTCTGGCAGAGGACCCATGTTCAGTTCCCAGCACCCACACGGCAGCTAACAACTGTCCATAACTCTAGTTCTGGAGGATTCCACACCCTCTTAATGGCCTCCATAGGTATTGCATACATGTACTTACATATATTCAGTCAAATCACTCATACACAAAATAAAAATAAATTTTAAAAAGTTTTAAATAGAATATAAGGCCAGGTGTGGTGGCACACACCTTTAGTCCCAGCATTTGGGAGGCAGAGGCAGGCAGATCTCTGTGAGTTCAAGGCTAGCCTGGTCTACATAGCAAGTTCCAGGACAGCTGGGGCTACAGGGAGACCATGTCTCAAAAAAAAAAAAAAAAAAAAAAAAAGAGAGAGAGAGAGAGAGAATATATGTAGCTTAAATGCTGTTCTTAAAATATTGCCTCCACACACTTAATGATTTTTTTTTTTTAAAGATGATGATCAAACGGAAATCCCTCCATTGGGCAAATGATTTAGCTCAGTGATAAAGCCCTTACCTAGTGTGTGTGAGACTTTACATTCAGCCCCCAGCACAATAAATAAGACTAAATAATAAACAGCCGGGCGTGGTGGCACACACCTTTAATCCCAGCACTTGGGAGGCAGAAGCAGGTGAAACTTTTTGAGTCCAGCCTGGTCTACATAGAGAGTTCCAGGCCAGCTGGGGCTACAGGGAGACCCTGTCTCAAAAAGACCAAAAGAAAAAAAAAAGAATAAATAATAAATAAGAATAGGAAGAAAAAAACTCTATTATGCTCCAACCTGTCAAAATCAATTTTACTAGAAATCTGCCTCATAAAAAGCCTAAGGGAGAGAGAGATAAAGACAGGCAGATCCCCAGGGCACAATGGCCAGCCAGCCTAGCTCCATTAGTGAGCCCAGGTTCAGAAAGAGACCTGTCTCAAAAAATAAGTAGAAGCCAGGCAAGATGACGCATGCCTTCAATCCTAGCACTTGGGAGGCAGAGGCAGGAGGATCTCTGTGGGATTGAAGCCAGCCTGGTCTATATAGCAAGCTCTAGGCCAGCTGTGGCTACAGGGAGACCCTGTTTCAAAAAAAAATTAAAGTGAAAAGCAATAGAGGAAGAAACCTGATATCCCCCTGTAACTTCTACATTCGTGTGCAAACACAGGTGCACACCAACACACACATACCACTTGCGCATAATCACATACACAAAACATATGAAAAATTTAAAAATCATATATACACATAATACATATACATTATATATATATATAAAGTCTAAGGGCACTGGAGAGATGGCTCAGCAGTTAAGAGTGTGCACTGCTCTTACAGAAGTCCTGAGCTGTTCTCTGCACCCACATCAGACAGCTCATAACAGCCTGGAACTACAGTTCCACAGGATATGATGTCCTCTTCTAGATTCCTTGAGCATCTAAACTCACATGCACAAACACATGCACAGTTATTCATATATACGAGTAATTTAAAAAAAAGCTGGGCATGGTAGGGTACACCTTTAATCTCAACACTCGGGAGACAGAGACAGGCAGACATACATCATGGTGGATGCGATGGGTTGTTGTCAACTTGACAGAATATAGAATCACTGAGAGATAGGCCTCTGGGCAGGTCTCTTGCGATTATTTTGATTAACTAACCTGTGGAGACCCACCTTAACTGTGGGCAGGACCATTTGCTGGGCAGGGCTGTATGAAATGGAGGAATCAAGGTGTATTAGTCAGGGTTCTCCAAAGAAACAGAACTTCAGTCTATAGCAGCAAGACGAGCTCACCAGCAAGAGAGAAGGCAAGCAGCAAGAAGTCAGGCGTTCTCCTCTGCCTTGGTCTTTTATACCAGCTGCCATCAGAAGGTAGCACCCACATTTAGGGTGTGTCTTCCAGCTTCAGATGATCCAATCAAGA